TGGGGTGGGGGGTAAGGGATTGGGGGGGCCGGCCAAGGCAGGGACCTCCTGGGGGCTAGCAGGGGGAGGGGCCACCCAGGGCAGAGATTAGGGGGGCTGGGGGAGTGGGCAGGGCCGTCAGGGGTCCCCTCCCCCCCGACCCCTTACTCACCGGCCCTGGAGCCCTGGTGCTGAATAGGCGGCCTGGCTGGCCGCATGTTTCAGCACCAGGGCGGGGGCCAACCACAGAGATGCTCTAGCAGCCAGAGCATCTCTGTGGAGGACCCAGCCTCTGGCTGCCTCAGGGCACAGTCCCAGACCATGCCCTGCTCTGCTTTTTTAAATTTCGATTTTTTAGACCCCTGGAAATCCAGGGGTCTAATTTTCTGCCCACGCTGCAAGTCTGCAGCACAGGGAACATTTTTTCCTTCCCACATGTGCCTGTTGCCCTGCCTCGAAGGCACGTGCACACTCATCTGGACGCGCCCGTAAGGTTTAAACTATAACTGCACATCAAAAACTCTTATTTACAGTTTTTAGAAAAGCCTAAAAATAAGCCCTCATTCTATTCTTAGCTCACATTAAATTAAATCTTTTCTAGATTATTACTAAATAATCAAGATAAAAAGTGAAATTCTTCCTTCTAGATAACCTGTTTTATAGGTGTATTAATATAGATAACCAATAAAAAAAAAATTAAAGCACCAGTTTCTATATAACTGGGTAATTAGTCAGAGCAGGGACACCTTTTTCTTTAGACAAAGAAATACACTTTATTTCTCCAGATTTAAGATGTGACCCCATATTAATGCATCATCTGAAGAAAATATTTAGCTCAGAAACTAGAGCAGAAAGTTTAAATGAAACACAGAATGCTTCAGCAAAGGCTTAAAATTTCTCCCTGAATGGTTTCAGACAATCTGAAGCAGCTTACTGAAAAGCAACAGCATGCAACTGCTAAGACCCAACATCCTATTACAGCATGAATTTATATTTTCACAAGTGTCAGTTATTCAACAAAGAATTGTACTGTCCCTAAAGCAAAGGTAACTACTTTTCTTCCTACTCAATCCCTCCTCCTCCACTCCAAAAAGTCCATCTTTTCTGAAGTAGTTCTCTCAATCTGTTTAGAGCATCTAAATGTATTCTGAATGCTTGAATAGCACAAGAAATTGGCACGAGTGATCTCAGATGAGAAATGAGTCGATAAGACACTTTGTCAGATGCTCAAAAAGCAAATAAAGCTAGGGACAGTGATGACCAAGATAAGACCCCTTTCGTAAGGCTATGACTGCGCTGCTTCTTTTGGAGCAGCCTTTTAGAAGTATTCCGTCATAAACAGAACAATGGCAGCCATGTTCACTCATTTCCCATAAAGCCAAAAAGGAAAAACCTGAGCAACACATAATATCAAAGGGGCAATAAGCTGCCCCACCATCTACTGCAAAAGTCCATAACAGCTTAGCAATGAACTTGACCACAGAGGAGAACCACATCATCTTTCAGTTCTCCTGTGCAACATGAACAATGTAACAAGAAAGAAGCAATGTTTAGCAACCTGCATGCCATGGGCACCCGAGACAAATAACCTGCTCCAGCCTCTGTCTGAGCCTAATTTGCATACTTGCAGAGCAGCCTTTTTGTGTTTTA